CCACTGTGGGGGACCACACAGGAGAAAGTTAAATAGATATATTATTAACCTGTTGTATGTGAAGTAAGTATTTAAATGTGTTGACAGCAGCCTCGTTGTTGCGCCTGCAGGCAACAACAGGTGAATTTTTCGCCATGGATGGGTGGCATGAAAAAAAGCCCCTCATACAATGGGTCAGCCCACTTTGGCAGAGGTTTATGGCACCCATGCACTGCGCCCATTGGTCTCATTGGCGAGTCCCAACCTGTGCAATTATTTTGCACTCCACGAGAGGCACAATTCTTTTGCGCTCCATGGGGGGCACAATTATTTTGTGCTCTAGAGGTGCAATTATTTTGTGCTCCATGAGAGGTGCAATTATTTTGCGCTCCAGGGCGCAATTACTTGCACTTTATGGGGGAGCAATTCTTTTGCACTCTAGAGGTGCAATTATTTCAAGCTCCATGAGAGGTGCAATTCTTTTGCAGTCCAGGGCGCAATTATTTGTGCTCCAGGGTGCAATTACTTGCGCTCTATGGGGGCGCAATTATTTTGCACTCTAGAGGTGCAATTATTTCAAGCTCCATGAGAGGCGCAATTCTTTTGTGCTCCACAGGGGGTGCAATTCTTTTGCACTCCAGGGCGCAATTATTTGTGCTCCAGGGCGCAATTACTTGCGCTCTATGGGGGCACAATTATTTTGCGCTCTAGAGGTGCAATTATTTCAAGCTCCATGAGAGGCGCAATTCTTTTGCGCTCCACAGGGGGCGCAATTCTTTTGCACTCCAGGGTGCAATTATTTGTGCTCCAGGGCGCAATTAGTTTGCGCTCTAGAGGTGCAATTCTTTTGTGCTCCATTGGGGGCGCAATTCTTTTGTACTCCAGGGCGCAATTATTTTTGCTCCAGGGCGCAATTACTTGCGCTCTATGGGGGCGCAATTATTTTGCACTCTAGAGGTGCAATTATTTTAAGCTCCATGAGAGGCGCAATTCTTTTGCACTCCATGGGGGGTGCAATTCTTCTGCACTCCAGGGCGCAATTATTTGTGCTCCAGGGCGCAATTACTTGCGCTCTATGGGGGTGCAATTATTTTGCCCTCTAGAGGTGCAATTATTTCAAGCTCCATGAGAGGCGTAATTCTTTTGTGCTCCAGGGCGCAATTATTTGTGCTCCAGGGCACAATTACTTTTGCGCTCTAGAGGTGCAATTATTTCAAGCTCCATGAGAGACACAATTCTTTTGTGCTCCATGGGGGGTGCAATTCTTTTGCGCTCCAGGGTGCAATTATTTGTGCTCCAGAGCGCAATTATTCTGAGCTCTACAGGGGGTGCAATTATCTCAAGCTCCACAAGGGGTGAAATTATCTGTATTCCATGGGGGGGACAATTATTTTGAGTTCCATAAGGGATGCAATTCTTTTGCACTCCACAGGGGGCACAA